TAGATAGCAAGGCCAGCCGGACTAGACCCCAGGTTTTCAGGCCTCTCTTAGAGAACAGGCAAAGCAGGAAGGGCTTCCCCTGTTTTCTCGAGGGTGCCCTCTTTCCAAACTTTGCAGACTTCTCTGCATGGAGTCCCCTGCTCTTCAGAAAGAGTTTGCACCAACTTTGTTTCCCAGAGACATCGGCCCCGCCCCCGGGCCACGTGTGCAGTAGATCGTCCGCTGTTGGGAGCCCCCCTCCCCTTGATGCGTGTTTTATTTTGCTCCCCCTTCCTGTGTGCCTCAAAACCAATTTTCATTATTTTTTTTCTGTCTGTGTTTGTCTTTGTGGTTCGCAGGTGCTCCCTTGCATTGTTCATCAGCTTCATCAACCCCTATTGAGCAGTCCCCCTCCCCGCCCCCCTCCCCTCCGGCCAATGAGAGCCAGAGGCGGTTGCTAGGCAACGGTGTGGCCCAGCCAACCCCGGACTCAGACTCTGAGGAAGAGTTTGTCCCTAATTCATTCTTAGTTAAAAGTGGCTCTGCCAGCCTGGGGGTCGCAGCGAACGGTAAGTCCCTCTTTCTTCCTAACTTCTGTGGGGGGTTTTCCCCCCTTTCGTTGGCGATGCTGATTAATGTGCCTGCTTTGGCAGCCTGCAGGGCGGAAGGGCCTGGTGCATGGGGCGCTCAGGGTTGTTGGGGGGCCTGGCGCGGCTCCAAGGCTCAGGCAGCCCCGCTCCTGCCCCACTACGTGCTGCTGGGTGTGCGCGGGTTGGGAGGCTGCTGTCCCCACCCTCATGACAGATGTCGGGTAGACAGAGCTGCATGGACAGATACGCACGGACAGACACAAGGAGACAGAAACGTCAGGTGGAGACGGAGGCAAACAAACATACAAAGATGGACCCAGAAAAAGAAGGAAAGGTTAAAACTAAAACAGTACCAGTTGGCTCCCTACTGTGTGCCAGGGACTGTGCCAGCCCCGCCACTTGTTGCCTCATTGAATCCTCCTCACAACCCTGCCTAAGAAACCAGTGCCAGAGTGTGCCGGTTAACCATGGGAAGCTGAGAGAAAGGGCACTACCTGGATTCTAGCGCTGGCTTTGAAAGTTTCCCAGTTCCCCACTGCCCAGAGACAGAGGGCCCTGGAGTTCCAAGCAGCTACAGGGCTGAATGCTGGCTGCAGAGAGAGCCACTGGGCGTTAGCATCCCTATGCCCATAATAAGCACTCTTCTTGTAAGCACACTGCTATGGCTCTCTTGGGGAGAATCAGTGAGGGAGGTGCGGGGGTAGGGGGTGGGGAGTGAGGGGGCAGTGAAAGAGCTCCAGGCTGACCAGGAGCCAGCAGATGCTGATCGGGTGCTGTGTGACCTGGGCCCAGGTGCTTGCCCTCTCTGTGTCCAGCAGAGGCCAGTCAACTTCTTTATAAGTGTGCTCTGTAAGGGACTCAAGCCTCCAAGAGGGGGATGATGGACAGCCTCCGCTCTCTTTGAAAACCAGAGCGGTCTTTGGCCTTGACGGTTCTCTTCTGACAAATTATTAGGCCCAGCATTCTCTTTCACCAAAAGTCGCACCATCCTTCACAGCCTTTTCCCTGTGCTCCCTGAAGGTGTCCTTTTGGTGGTTGGGTGTCACTGCTCCTCTAAACCTTTTAGCGGCTTATGTTTTAACTTATGCGCAGAAACAGGAACTCTGGACTGGGAGAGAGGAACCCTGTGTTCCAGTCGCAGCTCTGTGGCCATTTCCTTGGCAAATCACTGTCCCTCTCTAGGTCTCAGTTTCCTCAGTTTCCAATGATGGAGGCATCTCTAAGGTATTCTGATTTTATGATGTTATGCGGTGCTGACTGAGGTGTCCCTGCCAGTAGTCTTCTTAAGCTTGCGGGGGGGGGGGGGGGCGGGAATGGGGGGGGGGCCGGAGAGAAGGGAGGAATATATATACTAACATACTAGTATATTTATACACACACACACACACACACACACACACACACACACACACACATTATGAATTCTTTATTCATCTCTGAGTACATAAACCTTGCAGGTAAAAGGCAGGAGATTAAAGTCCTTAATCTCTCCCTTTGCTAATTAACTGAACAAGACCAATCACTTTGTTGCAAGTTCTGCAGCAAATTGACGACATTATTGCATTACTGAAGTGCAGGGAAGATGGGAGGACTTTGGCTTACAGATTTCTGCTCAATTATGCTCCTCTGTGCTCCTGCTGCCCAAAGGACCCGGAGACACTTTGCATTTCTCCCCTGGGGCCTTGCTCCGAGAGTGCCACTCTAAAGCTTGGGAATGAATGTGTTTCATGCCTGAAGGGAGTGTCTGGGTCCTTAATGGTCTGCTGCTCTGGGGGTTGGTGGGTCATAAGAGTGCCAGTGAGTCTCACCCCACATCTGGACCCTGCCTGCCACCTTCCCAAACCTTCTATAAGCTAAAGGACCTGCTGGGATAGGCATGTACCCAGTGCTAGCAAGGGAAGTTGAGTGGGCCCTGTTGCATAGTGGCTCCAATAATGGTTTATAGGGCAACGTTTAATTTTTTTTTCATGAAAAAACTGTATAATTATTTAAAGGGATTGTCTTTATTTTTATCAATTATAAAAGTAACAATGCTTTTTAACATTCAAATAATACAGAAAGGTAAAAAGTGAAATTCTCTTGTAATCCTTCCTCTCAGAAATAACCACTTTTAAACAGTTTGGAGCATGGCTTTATAGATGCTTTTTATGTAGTGTTAACAAAATGGATGAATGAATGAATGAATGAATGAACGAGCGAACGAATGAGCAAGCAGTAAAGACTATGGGAAAACCACATGGTAGTCAAGAGAGCAAAAGCCATAGAATCAAACCTTCTGAAACCAGGTCCCAGACATGTGACCCTGGGCAAAGAACCTAACTTCTCAGATCACCAGTTGCTCCGTAAGTGAAATGGGGAAAACCTTTCAAGGTTGCTGTGGAGTTTTAAAATGCTGAAGGTGATAAGGGTCCTTATCTCCCTTCCCTATATTCACATCCCCACCCTCTTCCACTAATTTCAGGCTTTAGAGACCACACTAAACGGATCAATTGCTCTAGTTCCTTGAGAGGCCTGCTCCCCTGGAGACTTAATTCAGAATGTACTTTAAATGACAAAGGCGGCCCCTGAAAGGTGAAAATGATGGGTTTCCTGTGGTGGGAGCTGACTCAGCGCCCTGCATGCAAGGCTGACCTCTGGGAGCCAGCCTTCCAGAAGCTGGGGCTGTGCTCTCCAGTGGCTCCCCAGAGGCCCTCTGCCCACAGCTGTGTCAACTCCAGCCCAAGGCTGAAACCCCTGGTCCAGGAGGCCTCAGAACCGCCCGCTAAAATCCCCGTGTAAAGTGCAAGGAGAACACGTGGGGCATCACAGAGCCCCTCATTGTCCCTGCGGAAAAGAAAACAGGGGAAGTAGCTCTTTCTGTCATCAAAATCCTAATCCACCCCCAAAGATAACCATCTCAAAATCACTGATATATATAAAGAAAGATTTCCCTAAAATATCAACTGGTCACAGTTGAAAAGCTAAGGAAGTGATTCGGATTAAGTAGGTATTTGTCCCTACCACATAGAAACTTTTCAGAATAAATATTAAATGTTCCATGAATTGTTCTAATCCAAATTCTAAAAGAAAGGAGCTTCAAAAACTTGGGGGTTAATATTGAAGAGGGCCAGGGGATAAATAGCTCAGAGCAAGCTGTCCCAAAGCCTAGGTGAGGTAGGGGTGGGTGGAGAATGTATATGTAATCAGCACCTTCCGTGTGTGTGTCTTTTCTTTGTATACATTATCTTATTTGAGTTTCCATTTATCTTCACTTCTCTTGTTCCTATCTCCGTTGTCTTAAGAGGCATGGCAAAGATTCAAACCCAAGCCTGTTTGAGTCCAGAACTCCTCTGTTTTGTATTTATTTTTTTTTCCTTTTTTTAAACTTGTTTTGTTTTGTTTCTAGTGCCAGATCCTATTATTTCTATGTCTTCTCCTTAGTAGGAGACTGGAGAGGATAAGAGGAATCCCACCAAAAACAAAAAGTTGATTTTTAAAAAATTCCAAGTTGTTGGGTTCCTATTACTCACCTCACAAACCATTATGACACACTGTGTCAGAGGTGTTTTAGCTCATTGAATCTAATTAAACTGTCCATTTACCTTGTAACATGGCTACTTTTAGTCTCATTAAAGCAATAGAGGGCCAGAGAGGATAAGTGACTTCCCCTACATCACACAGCTACTGGGTGCTAGAGCCAGATTTGAACCCCAGATCAGTCTGACACCACAGAGTGGAACCATTGCATTGTGTTTGTGTGCGTACTGTGGGAGTTTCAAATCAGACCAGGCGACTTAGACTCTACATTTTGATGCTGCTTTGTGAGAGCCAGGGCCTGGATGCTGAGCTGTCCATACCTTTTCTCCTCCAAGCACTGGCCCTTCCTGCGTTGCGTTACGGATTAGATTTCTCAGGCTGGTCACACTGTTCACCACTGTTGTTGGCAGTTTCATTGACTTTCTCGGGTCTTAAGCTGCTGGGCTTACTGTTTTGACTTCCAATCCAATGGAGGAGTGTTTATTTTTCTTTCTAGATGGGAAACACTGCTATGCATGCAAGCTGCCTCCAAAAAGTGAGCTCTTAAAACAGAAGATCCAACTTAATTTAGAACCAATTGAGATTCCCCTGGGGGTGTCGGCTAGGGTTCTTTTAAGTCAGTTTGTGAAGTCAGAAGGCAAAACTGTGCCTTTTTCTTACAGTTGAGGTCCGGCGAGGTTCTTGTCTCCTTTCACCGTGAATTTCATGGGTCCTGTTTCCATGTTGCGTGCCAGCTGCAGGTGCTTGGGTCTGAGTGTGTCCTGAGTTCTAAGAGTAAAGGACCTAACTAGGGTGTGTGAAGTTTTCAGACAATTTTGTTCACTTCTCTCAACTCTCTTACATCAAAGGACTCCTGATAATCAATAAATTCTTATACCAGCTATCTAGGGAAACACCTAACTCCTAGTAGCAACAGCAAACAAACCAATAAAAAACACCTGATTTCTTCCCCTTTATTCATTCATTCATGGTGGCATTTGAAGTATTTGTGGGTGTTTTCTAGACAGATGAGGGATGAAGGGCATTCTAAGCAAAGAGATTCTATAAAATAGATACCTAATTTATGGGGTATGAATCCCTTCAATGAAACTTTTCAGAAATCAGAAGTGTTCCAATATAAGAAAGAAAAGAGTCCATATACTGTACTTTTCCTGATATCCCTAAGGTGCTGGGATGAACCGTGAGAGTCAAACATTAATATTTCTGCACAGAAGCATAAGACTCTGAACCTCATGTCAGTAAAGGTCAGGTTTTGCCACCAAAAGAGTTTTGATAAAACTTCCAGTCTTAGAGGTTTGGAATGGTGGCGAATGGATGGTGATCATGAATTGTGCTTTTTAAAAACGGGGGATATCACAACACAGAACAGTGTAAAAAAAAGACAACTAGAGAGCATGATACAGGTGCAAGTTGCTAACGGGGAATTTGTATAGAAGCACTTGCTGTTTATCCATTAAGACTGT